TCTGCCACGTCTCTGCAGCGCAGTTCTCGCGCACACAGAACGAGCAGATACGAAATGTGTAGGGCGAGGGAAGATTTTCCACTAGTTAATCGATCGCGGATGGTTTCATTATTTTGGGCGGATAAAAAAAGTATGAGGGTAAAAATAATAAAAGCAAAAATGTTTCTCCATATATACTTGGGCGGCCGTTAATATACCTGGGCGGCCCGCCCAAGTAAAGTCTATGTGTGGGGATTTCATTAAGACTCTCTCCTGTATCGCACAGATTACAGCCACACTCCAAATGCTCTTTATGACTTGTTTTACATACCTGCTGCATGGACTAATTGTTTTGTTTTCTCATCCTGGCATTTTGATAATGTCCCCGTGATAACGTGATCCATGAATAGCTGCCTGATTATTTGGTCTGCACGGAGAAGCTGTTTTTTGGCTTGTGCATGTGAATTCATTTACCTTTCAGCTCTTTATTAGGATCTGTCATTTTTGAGTGGATAATGTCTGCTATTTTCCAACTCTGTTAAGGTGCACTCGGAAAAATGGCATCATACAATGATGATAGAAACTGTCAGGCTCCTTTCTTTTAAAATCTTCACCCACACCATGAGAGGTGTTTTGCCACGTAACGTGACTTTTGATCACGCAGTGCTCTCTGAGCCCATTAAAGAGTGATGGCAGGTGTCTGCATATAAAATATGCTTTTGCATGTGTATGTGTATATATATATAAATATTTATCTATAGATCCATATATATGAAATAATATATGTGTGTGTGTGTATATTTACATTTTTATATTCAGACTTAAAATTATATATTCAGATTTACTTCTATATATTCATGATTTACATTTTTATTATAATTTGTTTTTATATGTTCAGACATATAACTATATATCTAGATTTACATTTTTATAGTCAGATTTATAACTATATATTCTGATTTATATATTCAGATTTTATGTAATTATTTACTGTTTGGCGCTTCATAAGTAGCATTTTTATTTTATTTTGTTTAGCTTTTTTTATCATCAGTGTCACTTCTAGGCTTAAAATACCCATAATTCATTATTCATCAGACCCCAATATTTGCTGCTTTGGATTTTTCCCTCCTGTCGTGCCTCGTCTCCAGCTAGGGTGATGAGTTTTGAATGTCTGTTTCCAGTTTTAAATGAATTAGGATACAGTGTGTTGGATGTGGCAGCTGGAACGTGTTCTTGTTCACTGGGTGGTAGAAGCAGTGTGCTCTGTCGGTGTGTTGATTTTCCATCAGGTGTGACTGATGAGCCCTGATCTTCGCTAAAGTAATTATTAGTCTGATGGATAACTGTCGAACAGGCTGTAATTATAACTAGACTGACAATCAACCTCCCTCTTTCATGATGGATGCGAGCAGGAGAGATATTGGCCTGTTGAGACACACAGCGCTAAACACAAAGGAGGAGGACAGAGGTGAGATGAGAAAGGGGAGGGGGCTCTGCACAGACATTAGAAGAGTGTGAAAGATGATGTGGTATGTTATAAGATTAGACTGGGGGGAAAAGCACTTTAGCTATGTCGCACTGGGAAAATTGCTGCCTGGCGCTGGATGAATCCTCTGGGATCACAGCTGCATCTCCTAATTTGAGAGTCAGAGAGGTGCAACCTGCTCTTAGCCCAGCAAACACCTCATACGGCTAGAACCAGCTGAGGAGTTTAAAAGAGGTGACAGGTGCGTTTTTATTGTCGGGTGGAAAAACAAAGGCCTGTATTTTTGGCTGTTAATTTCTGTGATTGTAGATGAAAGGAAATGACATAGTGTTTGATATGCACATACTGTATAAGGACACTTTTTAAAAGCAGAAGACCTTGAAGTGGTGAAATACAGTAGCTATCTGTCATGTTATGTCTTTATGGCATGCATTTAAAGGGTTTCTCTTATGTAATTTTTTTTTTGCATTTAAACTTTATTTAAACTTTATTTACTCCAATAGTAAGTCCCTTTAAGGCACGACAGTTCATTTGGTGACCGAAATCTTCAAAACTGTTTCTCATGATTAAGTTTCGATAATATATTGTACGTAAGGTATTTTATTATGCTCGTTCTAGTGTAAACAAACTCTATCAAAAAGCAGGACTTCCATTCCTACATTAGATTGAGAGTTGCATTTTCTTCCATTATTTTTTCTAAGAGTGGCCTGTTTCCTCCCCCTTAAAATATGCGAGAAAACTCTCTTGCTCATGAATTATGGGGGCTTTTTCATTCATTTTGGTGGCATTTCCAACCTTGCACAACACTAATTTATGCCAAGGTCAAAATAGCTTACTGGTTAAAGGGATAGTTCACCTAATAATTACAATTCAGTCATCATTTACTCACCCTCAAGTTCCAAACCTGTATGAATTTCTTTCTTCTGTTGAACACAAAAGAAGATATTTTGAAGAATATGTATGACCAAAGAATGTGTGTTAATGGTCCCCACTGACTTCCATAGTACCTTTTATTTTTGTATTTAAGTGTTATGTGTGTTGTCGATTTACGTGTTGTTAACTCTGGTAAGGGATGTCGAAAAGACTTGTGTGATCTCGCAGAATTAGAACTTAAATGCAGTTCTCGGTCACACAGTCAATTGATAACTAATGTCATGGGCCAAATTTCAATAAAAACTAAAAACATAAAATAAAAAATGTCTTGCAAAAAGTGCACTCATCTAGTCAGAGCACAAAAGGGCATAGACTAGATCATATGCGACTTTTTTCTATTGATTTTGTTTCCACTCTAAATATTCTTTTCCGTTTTCATTAAACTCCTCTCCATGGAAACACAATCATATCAAGCATATCATTAGAAAATAATTGCCATTTTATTGTTTCGCAGTGAACCAAGTTACATGACAACATGCTGGCAAATTGTGTGTGCTTCTCTGTGCCTTTCATGCTTAATTTGTCTTTTTGCTAAATTTCTAAAGCATTGAACCTGATGTTTTTTAGCCCGTTTCTGTCTTGCATGATATCGTTCCTCTCCTAATTTCCATGCAAACACTGTAATCAGGATTTAAAGTTTCCCAGCCTAATACTCCAGATGTCCTTAGGCATTCTTTCATCTTGCAGGTTTTATGGCATTATACACTTTCTTCCAGCAACGTAATGCAGTATGTTATAATATTTACACATCCATAGTGATCCTAACGTGTCATCTCCTCAAACGTGCAATAACATTGTAACATTTTAATGATATTCAAAGTAACTTGTGCAGACACAGTTTGCATAAATATCCTGTTTAGCAAATGTCTCCTTATGCATCTTCAGTTGAAGTGTACAGAATTAGACTTGGCTAATTAGCATGGAGGCAGCATGCTGTTTTTAATAACTTCCTTCCAGCTTTAACCTGCATGGGTCACTGTGAAACCTGCCATTTTATGGAGGAATGTTTTTGCTGAAAATATCTAGTTTTAGTTTATCAGATTGATATGATATGATATCTTATCATATCAGAAAGTAATGTTATATGTAGGGGAGAGAAATGTTATTCCATCACCAAATTATCAGATGTTTTCAATAATAAATACATTTAAAACAATTAATGCCAAAGGTATGTTTATACAGACTTAGATAATTTTTTAGAGAATAAATGCTATTTGATTCTCTAAAAAGAATAAAATTGGGCTTTATGTTGATTCACAGGAAAGAACTGGCTCATAAATGTTATTCGTCTCATCTATATTAAACTCTGTCAGAATGTTGTAATATTAAATTAATGTAATATAATAAAATATTAAAACCTGCTGTGTTCCATACAAAAATCATTAAGGATTTTTTATGTTAATGAAACTGGTTCCAAGTTTTATTTTTATTTTTGTACTAAAAAAAATCCCTGTTGTATTTTCTTTGCTATATTTTAGTTATGTAACTGCTTGCCTGCTTGCATATTTCTTTGAACATGAGTAATAATAAATAAATGGATTTCAATTGTAATATCAAGCACATTATTTTTTTCTCCTCCTTAACCAAGCACTGACATGTTAATGAAAAGACTGGTTTCCTGCTCAACTGGGGATTTTGGGGTGTTGCAAACAGTATTAAAATGTGCATAGAAGTAAATTATTATCTTAATATTTATTATTTATTGTATTTTTTTTTTCTTTTTTTAAGCAGGAGCTTTGTAAACCATACTTTATAGTTTCCACATAAGCCTGTTTTTATAAACAACACGTTGAGAAAACTCATTTGCTCTTCTGTGGCACTGCTGTGTTGATTAGTGCATTACAAAGTCATACCTTGTTGACACTTAAATCACAGAGCATGTTTTGTTAGCCATTTTCTCTGCTTTAACATGTATGGCGTTATCACTTCCATCCGTTTTCATTACACAGTTCCAATTGCATTGCCTAACACTTCTGATTTCCACAAGCTTTCATTCAGCTTGAAGGATCTATGTTACATTATGGATATTCCACCAGCAGTACATACAGCATTTATTCATAGAATTTTACACATGCATTTCCACTTCTAAAAGTCAGCTTTTCAAAGAAACATGAACATTTAATGAGATTCAGTACAACTTTCATGATCAAGAATGGTCTACAAAGGTCAATACAGGGCAGAAATAATGGTGGTAAGTTACATAAATATCAAATTTAGCAAAAGCCTCGCTTCTTAAAATGAAATCATCAGTCCGACCAAGTAAAATTAGGGCATTTAAATAATTATCTCAGCACCAACTTGTATTTAGAGATGCTTTGGAACCACTTTCCATCAACACTCAGATTTACCGTGTGCTGGTCACCATTAAATATGTCAAATGTAAACACAAACATTTAACTTCAGAGACAGCTTAAAACTATTTTAAACTGCCAGTCATGAGAAAAAATAAAATGACATTTAAAACAGTATCCGTACAGTCTGAACGTTGTTGATTTACTTTAGGCTGACGTTAACATACTTCATATGCTTGTTTTTCAGCATATCACTTCAGCCTTTCTCCCGTTTCTCTCTGTCATCGTCCATCTTCTTTCATCTCTTGCAGGTCGGGTGTCTTTCTTCTCATCCGGTTCTGAGAACCTCCATCGTGTGGAGAAGGTCACTTGGGGTACTCGATATGCCATTACAGTGTCCTTCACATGTGACCCCGATTATGCCATTGATAACCCCTCCCTGCCTGTAGGATCCACCCGGCTCAAAGAGACGGATGAGTGACAGGAACCCTACGGCAAACACACAGGAAAATACCGAAACAACAGTCGTGTTCATGGCATAAAAAAATTCTTATTGTCCCGTTAGAAAAATGGTTGGGATTTTCTGTGCTCAAATGGGTTTTGTCTCCTTTATGTTTTTAATTTAAGAGGTGTTTTGTATTTTCAGGAGATTTACTTGAATTGCCGTCATTTTGAAGGCATGCATCTTGTGGGTTTGACTTGCATTCCGAAGGTGCTTCTTTACAATTGAATTCTCTCTTTCCTGGCTGTGCTTCACTCTTTAAAATCTTTTATATTATTATAGTTAAATCGCTGTCTAGACAGGAGACACAAGTGGGATGAGAGAACAGGTGTATGTAATGAAAACAAAAAGCTGGAAACCCGGTTGTCAAATATCTCTATTTATGTCACAAGCTGAAAAAATACTCTTTGTAGATTTGCTTTCAAAAACTACTTATGTTACTAATGAAACATCAGTGTACCAGATACCCAAAGAATATTTCATTCCTTCAGCCATGTCTTTCTACTTGTATGAAAGTTTTAAAAGAAAACCTTTTTGATATCTTTGATAAAAGAGTGTTATAATATTCAAAGAGAGAAGAAAAGTTTACTTTGTATGTCTTTTATTCTAAGGTCTCTTTAACCTTCCATTGCCAAGTATAAAATTTTGTAATGCGTATCTGATGAGCACACATTCCCTCTTTCGACTGTGTTAGTTTTAATTACACTGACATTATGTGGTAAAAGTCAAGTTTAGCCAGTCACAACACATTTGTTTTTGAAACCTTGTTTTGAGATGTAACAGCTAATTGGCGTCTCTGTTTACAGACCCACAGCCCAAAACTGAGTGCTCTCTCTGTTGTGTGAGTTGATGTGAGATTCAGAACAGAAGGTTGTTACTTCTCTAAAGCATGGGCAACCATCAAAATCTTCTCAGTAGTTTGTTTTTAAACCTTAGGCTATGAATTTGTCAAAACCTGTGGTGACTTTTAGGGAACAACACAAGGGTAAACTTGCATTTTTTGCCTTTTTAGACACATTCTGAATCTGCTTATACATTTAATGCTTGTTATTCAAATGCATGCACCAGCTTTATTATAATAGGTAGAGAAGTCTGTTTGCTCTCTACTCCTATGTGATGATTCATGAATTTTGGCTGATGCCTAATTTGCTGTTCCTGTTGCATCACCAGTAGCTTAATTGGAAATCTCTCTTGGTCTGTAACGTTCCCTTTTTTCAGCTGCTAATTCATTCATGTTTAGCTGCTGTAAGGCTGAATATTAACTAGTGTGCAAAAACTCTTCCTAAATGTATCATTTCAGGTGTATGCCAATCAAATAGGTTTTGCCAACAGCAATCAGAGTCTTGTGTCTCAGGGTAGATCACCTCAGCGACTCGTTGATTTACTGCCACTGTATACAATAGACTGAAATACAATGCGTCCATATCTTGTGGAGTTGCTTATTTATCTGTGATGAGCTGCATTTGCTTGAGATGATGGGGTTGGATATGTTGGCCGTGCATAAATGTGCGTGTTTGTTTTGAAAAATGGGGAGAGGATGTTCGTTCCTGTTCAAAAGTATGGGGTCAGTAAGATTATTATTTTTTTGTGTTTTTGAAAGTATCTCTTATGCTAATTAAGACTGCATTTATTTAAAATACTGAAAAACCCCAGTAATATTTTGAAATATTATTACAACTTAAAATAACTTTTCTTTTTTAATATATAATAAAATGTAATTTATTATATGATGCCAAAGCTGAATTTTCAGGAGCCTTTATTCCAGTCTTCAGTGTCACAGGATCCTTCCAAAATTGTTCTACACTCTAAAAAATGCTGGGTTAAATATAACCCAGCGCTGTTTAGAGTGTATTATGCCGATTTTGTGCTCAGGAAACTTTTATTATTATTATTATCAATGTTGAAAACAGCGCGGTTGGGTTGTTTTGAACCCAACCGCTGGGTCAAAACAACCCAATAGCTGGGTTTGTCCCTTTTTAACCCAGCATTTTTTAGAGTGTATTATGCCGATTTTGTGCTCAGGAAACTTTTATTATTATTATTATCAATGTTGAAAACAGCCATACTGCTGAATACTTCTGTGGAAACAGTCATTCATGCATTTTTTTTTGTCAGGATTCCTTGAATAAGAAAGTTCAGCACTTGTTTAAAATTAATATTTCTATAATGTTAAGTCTTTCACTTTTGATCAATTTAATGCATCCTTGCTGAATAAAAGTATTATTTCCTTAAAAATAAAGTCTTACTGACACCACATTTTTGAATGGTATAAATCAACATTTTGGCTAGATACTGTACATTTACATAAGAGTAGGAGTGTTGCAGTATGCGCTAGTTTGATGTGCATTAGTCCTATGATATTGTCATCTATTTAAAGCCTTTTAAGATCTTTCTTAATCTCATTACATTCTTATTATCTAGTCCTAAAGATTAAAATTTGATTTGCCTGATTATTGGCAGCTGCTTCGATGTTAAGACAGCTTTTCAAACTGGAATGTAAGTGCACAGCTGATGTGTACAGCTTTTGGCAGAGAGGTTTTGCCAGTGGGTGTTGTGGTTTTGAAGAACAGATGTTGCTAATTAAATGATATGACAAAACAAATGATGGACACATTCGAATTTGTAGTTTGACCATAAGCAATTTGCAAGAAATTCTGGATCGATGGCTACAGTAACACAAGATTCCCTCTGGCGATACTGTTTACTCTTAAGTCATGCAATTTCCTATGACTACTCACTTGCAGAGTCCAACAATAACGTACGGCGAGATTGTGATTTATTTAATTTCTTGAAGAGACAGAAAAATAAGAAAGGAAATGTGTAATGTTTGACTGGCGCCTTCAATCTGCGGTTGTGCAATTTGTTATTAAAGTGCTTTCTCTGCAGTGTCATTAAGTAAATTGATACACTCTCTCCTGACATCAGACTCAATTCTTCCATTTTTAAGCTAATCTTTCCATGATAAATGATGCTCAGAGTGTTTTGCCAGCGTGAGACTTGGCACTTGGATCTACTTAAGAAATCCCATAACTGTTTTGACCCCGGTCTGAGCGTCAACAACCCTCTCTTGAGAGTTTCTTGAGAGTGTTCTTTAATTTTCCTGGCAAGTTTGCATGTTTTTATTTTGTACTAAGGATACAGAGTGTAAAGCATCACTGTAGCCACCTGCTACTCTTTTCTGTATCAGTGTTTCCCAGAAATATGCCAGACTCATTGACTGAGCATAATGCATTAGTGCTTGAGGAACAGAGTTCAAATGCATGAATATGCATAGGCCAGTTTAGCCCTAAGCGGTGAATGCCACCATATGGATTGTAAGATGGGAATTTGTAGATGATGAGTGTCTCGTGATGCACGTCAAGATTTATTTCTTTGCTCTGGTGCGCAAGTACAGCTGAATGGACTAGTGATGAGTGAGCACAGTATTAGTGCACTAATGTCTCAGATTAGTGGACCATTTGTTGTCTTCTTTTGTAGATTGGCTATATGAAATTTCACTGTGAGCTGACGTCATTGTAAATGATTGTTTCAGTGTGTATTATTGCAATGATATGGACCCCATGATGGATTTAAGTGTAGGTTCATTACAATATCATTTCGGTATTGTACTTTTTTTTTTTCCCACACTAGATTTAAATCCTCATCATCCACATAATTACAACTCTGTGGAAAATAACATATTTCTGTGATAAGACAGCGTTTTGACACATGGAAAATATGTGGGAAAAGTTACTCTTGGCACAATAAAATTGATTAATAGTTCTGATAACATGCTTTTCCATCTGGACTGTGAATGCAGCAAAAAAAAAAATAAAAATGCAGTTTTTCTAATAATGTGTGATTTATGCCAGTGAAGTAGTGGGCTGGATGTATCATTGGTACAGTATTTACACGAATAGGTTAAGCTTTCCAGTCTCTTCACTGCATCATTATGCTGTCTTCACATGTCGAAAGATCTTACTTTCCACTTCTGCAGTTGTAATTACAAATATGTAGCATTCAAGTATTAGAAGTTCTGCATATTAGCATATTATTTGAGCATTCCTGGGTTTATCAGGTAATCTCAACAGAGGTATCAAGACCTTGATATACTGAGAGTCCTACTTGCATGTCACTTTTATGAAAATGTTTCCTTCTACACTGGAAAAAAATTGCTGTAGAAACAATTTTCACTCAGAAATTGCTAGTAAATTTCACACAATTTTAAGCAGAAAGACTGAAATAGTATTTTTTTTTTGTACACACTCCAACACACTCCAATAATCTTTGTGTCATCTACATTTTCGAAAAATCTTTTTTTTTTTTTTTTTTTTGTACAAGCATTCAAAGTCAACTGAAGGACATGACATTAGGTGCATTGTTTAAATTAGGTTCACGCAAATCTGGAAAATATGAATGAGTGGGTTGTTTGAAAATGGAGGTAAGTGTGTGTTTAATCAAACATTTAAGAGCAATTCTTCCACTGGGATACTTAAAAGAAGTTAAATTTCCTCTGTTACAGCATTTATCTAATGTTTTGGAATAATGATTATGTCATGGCCTGGATCAGCCCTCAAATGGATATTAATATCATGTGTGATGGTGTGGAAATGTAATATGTGTGATGGTAATGAGTTTTGGTGGAAAAGTTGGATAATCTTTTTTGTTTACTCTAGTTGGCAAAATTTGAATGCTTAAAAATAAAGGAATGAATGGATTAAAATCCATGTTTGTTAATGACATCTGTCATATAATAATGTTAATAATAATAATAATAATGTTATCTAAAATCCAAACTGTCACTGTGCTGTTCTGTCAGATAACCTTTGTCATTTCTTCTCTCATTTTAGTCATAACCTAATTGAAATGAGAAAAGAAGAAATCCTCCCCCAATATATTTATTTCTAATTTATTTATGTATTTATTTTTGGGTGGGGGAGAGGAAAATGTGTTTGTGTAAAACCTACAGTTGTATAAAAATAGTTTTATGCAGTGTTTGGTGTGATGGTAATGACAAGCAGAATTGAGGACAGTGATTTACAATATATATATATATATATATATATATACAGTG